ATAGCAAGACTAAGTTACTAGACGTCTGTTTATTTCAGTCTCTAATCCACTGTTATAACACAGACGCGATAAAAAAGGACTGTGATGATTGTATATCTCAATAAAACTTGCTCATTAGTTCACAATTTCCTGTACAAAAAAAAATAGATTATCAACTGAAAGGACTTTATAATGTGGTATACGTATGTTAAATTGTATTTAACTCAATTTGCCCTAGAACGATAATCGATACAAACCACAATATTATTGCTTGGAGTCATAAACTCGTATTCCAAAACATTTCATGATTCTAACTATAGTATTTATACGTACAGGGTGTAACTGAAATAAGTGCCGAGCCTGCAGGAGATGACAAAACACTATAAAATTAAGTGAGCGCTTGTACGTTTGAAAGTACACAGTTTTCGAGGAAAAGTTTGAATAAGTAGACAAATGTCGTTCCGTTCCAACGCAACGCCGCATATAATCAAGCTGTAATTAGCAGTAGCGGCCTTTGGCACTAAGTCAGTGTATCACTGTAGAACGGTTGTTGCTATTACTGTTGACGACGTCATCTATTCTCTCAAGGCCAGTAGTTGGTTTGTTGTTGTTCGATATCGGGAATATAAAAAGCCATTCACAAAAGAACAGGGAGATGGAAACCGGGAAACAGACTTATTCAAACTATCGAATTGCACAGACTTTTAATTTTATTTTTAGATTTGATAGAAAGCAACCCCCAAAGTAGTACACTAAAAAATAGCACTAAACATTTACTCTTTTCATGTGATTATATGGCGAATTTTAAAAAGACGGTTGTTGCATCCTTACCATTTGCAGCAAGTGCAAACATTGCAACAAAGTGATTTTCAGCCGCAAGTCGATTAGTGTCAGTGGTTTCAGAGAAAAAGAGCTTCAGATTCCAATGTACGAGGGTGGATTGATAAGTTTCCGGCCTAACCAAGAGATGACGCCACTAGGCCTACCTTGAGGTGACATTCTATAGTACCATCCTTGGATAGCTTGTAGCTATAGTTTCAGCCCGATCTCCTTGCTAGTGTAGGTTTGACAGCACGCTGAACAAGACGCCTCTGTGGTTTTCGTAAAAATGGAAAAGCAGGAAAATCGTGCTGTCATCAAATACTTTTATTTGAAGGGGTTAACGCCGAAGGAAATTAAAAAAGAGATGGACTCAACACTGGGGACATCCTCCCCGTCATATTCAACCGTTAAGCAGTGGGTTTCCGAGTTTAAAAAGGGTCGTGTGAGCACCTCTGATGGGCCTCGCTCAGGACGCCCCGTTGAGGTCACAACTCCAGATATGATCGAAAAAATTCATCAAATAGTGCTGGGAGACCGCAGATTGAAAGTGCGTGAGATAGCTGAGACCTGTAAGATGTCATATGAACGTGTGCAACATATTTTGCACCAACATTTGCATATGGAAAAGCTCTGTGCAAGATGGGTGCCGCGTTTGCTAACAGTCGACCAAAAATTGATTCGAAAAAACATTTCTACCGCAAATTTGTCATTGTATAAGCGTAATCCAAGCGAATTTTTGCGTCGATTCGTAACCGTTGACGAAACGTGGGTCCACCACTACACTCCTGAAACCAAAGAACAGTCTAAACAGTGGATTGGACCAGGGGAACCAACTCCAAAGAAGGCAAAAACAATTTTTTCGGCGAACAAGGTTATGGCTACTGTTTTTTGGGATGCAAGAGGTATTATATACATTGATTACCTTGCAAAGGGTAATACTATCACTGGTCAATACTACGCAGACTTATTGCAACGTTTGAGCCACGAGGTGAAAATTAAACGACCTCATCTGGCGAAGAAAAAAATCTTGTTTCATCACGATAACGCACCAGCGCACACGTCAATCGTTGCGACGGCTAAAATCAACGATCTAAAGTTTGAATTGATGCCGCACCCTCCTTACTCTCCAGACCTAGCCCCGAGTGACTATTTTCTGTTCCCTAATCTCAAAAAATGGCTTGGCGGTAAGAGATTTGCGGACAATGAAGAAGTAATCGAAGCTGTAAATGGTTATTTTGAGGAGCTTGACGAATCAGTCTATAGAGATGGCATTAATAAACTGGAACACCGCTATGAGAAATGTATCAGCCTTGGAGGAGATTATGTTGAGAAATAAAAAAAAAAAATTTTTAAAAACCTTGTTTTTCTTGGTCTGGCCGGAAACTTATCAATCCACCCTCGTACATCATTGGTAGTCTGAACCTAACTTAATAACGTGCATGCCCGTCTGATGATCGCTGCGAAAGGAATTCGCCAAATGCCTGTTTTTACAAGAGTGAGATTAATAATTTTGATTGACGTTTTGAAGCATTGACGTGTTCTAGCACGCGGTTATAATTTCGAACAATTAGTAACCGGTAAGCGGTTGTTTATGTTTAATTTACGTCAAGAATCAGCAACTGGTGGGCCGCGGTAGGTCAAAAATTGGACTACATTCACATTGTCGAAGCGCGCCTACGACCGGAATCGGATTGTAATGTGTTGTGATTTTCTTAGAAATTTTGTTGTCCTTTAACCACATTTCTGCACTCACCATAAGATTCCCTATTGTATTAGTTGATACCCTATAAAGCTCTGCACTTACTTAAATTACACCCTTTTTATGTATGCAGCAAAGAGAGAAATGAATATCACTTTAGCTAATTATCTGAACAACCATCAAGTAGAAAAGACGTTAACATAGACTAATGATAATCATTTTATATTTGGTTTTTCAATATACATTGTGATTTTGACAAAATTAGACATATTAATAAAACATCATTTGTAAAACCGTTTTGTGTATCAACCCCTTCAATTCTCCCGGCATCAGTTTTATTACTTTTATATTTACGTTGGTGAAGGAATCGTATTTTTTTAGAAGAATAAAAAGTACGGTAACTAAAAAAGGTGTAAAATCATTTTGAACCTTAAGATCTCTTTTTAGAATAATAAGACTAATCGTAAAAATAAGAAATACTATTAGTACAGTGAATAAAGGTAAAAATTAACTATTACCTCTGATTTCGGTGAACCTCCATCGATTTGCATGAAAATTTGGGATTGAGTATATTTTAGCCTTAACTTCAAAAGTTACATATGCTCGACTTGCGCTTTTTGCATTTTAGGGGTGAAGTCAACCCCTCTTTTTAAAAATTGGGAAAATGCAGGATTAAGCATTCTGGAGTAAGTAATCTCGTTTAATTAGATAAAATAAATATTTTTCAACACTTATATGCATGATTTATGATTTTAATTAATTTTTCAACCCTTTTAGCAACCACCCCTTAAATCGAAAATCATGAAAAAATCATTTTTTCATCATGTATGTTTTGTGAGCATGTACCTATCGACACGTCTACTTCTTACTATCTATCTTTTTTCCTAATATACATACAAAATCTCTGCCCCAAAAAGTTTTCCAAAAAAATGTTATTGGATTTTTTACAATAACTCAATTAATTTTTACGATATCAGGTTCATCTAAAAACCATTTGAAAGGTAATTTCAAAAGCTATAAGTCCGTATCGTATTAATCGTTTAAAAACCTTATTTTTTAAAAGATAAAAGCTTAAAGGGTCCCGGTTACATGGTTCTCGCAATAAAATGTAGGGTTTAAAAGAAAAAACTGAAATCTTTCTTAAAAAACAAACTCAAATTTCGTTCTCTATTATTTTTTACGTATATCGAGTATTTTTTTAGTTATTATCTAAAGAAAATGAAATTTACGAAAATTTGAAGAATTCTGATTTTTTAAATCATAGATACTGTTTTTTTCAAAAATATGCATTCTAAACCGGTCAAAACAAAAGTCATTACTTATGCTAAAATAAAGAATGTCTTATAGGGATTATTATAAATTTTAATTTTTGTGGAAATGGCGTAGGTTTCATTTTTCACTTTTTCCTAAAAAATTCGAAAGGGTCCTCTTATTTTCATCATAACTTGCTTAATTTTGATGGTATCAACTTCTTCTACAGCTCCTTTGATAGGTATTTCTGAGTACTTTCAAAATTGTTTTGCAAGTATATTTTATAAAATGCATCGTTTTCCCGTTATTTAAGCTTGAATACTTAGATTTGAGTACTCTCAGGAAAAAAGTATACATTCAATTACCTATAGCTCACTTTGAATTAATATTAAAAGGTTTTTTAAGAATGGAGTTTTTTTGTTTTTTTATTAGCTTCAATTTTGGTAATGACAACTTTTTTGTAAAACCTTACAGTTTTTGAGTTATTTATGAAAAACCGCTTTAAAACATGCATTTTTTTCACGAAAATCAAAATCTTTGATCTTTAAAAACTCAAAAAGTATTGATTTATTTTAATAACTCTATACAACAAATTTTGTTTACAATTGGTCCCTCTATCGATTTCTGGGGTTATTTTTCATAAAATAATTTCCACCCCTGAGAAGGGGTGGTATCCACCCCCAGGGTAAATGCACAAGTTGGCATTATGACACTTTTGTTTCTTGAGGTATCCTTTAACTACTCACCAGTTTTCATGAAAATCGATGAAGGTTCAACGAAATCGGAGGTGAAAACCTTCAGTGACTGTACTATATACGTGTGCTGGACTCCAGTAAGCACATTTTTTTCCATAAGTATTTCTTATTCTTATTCTTATTCCGTATGACTGTCGGATAATCCTTAATATTTGCCCATAGACTGAATAGAAGAATATTTTTATTACAAGGGGNACCTTCAGTGACTGTACTATATACGTGTGCTGGACTCCAGTAAGCACATTTTTTTCCATAAGTATTTCTTATTCTTATTCTTATTCCGTATGACTGTCGGATAATCCTTAATATTTGCCCATAGACTGAATAGAAGAATATTTTTATTACAAGGGGTAAAATTTTTATGTTCAATTTACAATTACGACAAATCTCCTACCGGATTTTGTACATTTTTTGTTTCAACGTCACAAATTGAGTGAAATACGATTAAGTTTACATATTTAAAGATGAATGCAGGTGTATGTGTATATACGTACCCCAGCTGTACGGAGCCGAGGGTGCCATGACGGGCAAGACACTCTTCGCTTATCAGGGCTCGGGTCATAGATTCTGTGGGGTTTAAACCCCCCTCGTGCTGTTCAATAACACAAGAGATTAGCAAACAACTGGTATTTCGATAATTTTGCCTTGTGCGTTATTGTTCTTGTTAAAAAACGGGGAATGGTTGTTAGTAAATTATATATATATATTATATACAGCACGAAGAAGAGAAATGAAACTGCAATAAGTGCGTATGTACGCTATTTCTGTATTTATGTATATATACATAGCTGTAATACCGTGTGGTACTCGCTAAATTATTGTAAATGTGACACCCTCATGTACCTACATAAAGCATGACGTAGACTTGGGAATTTCGTATTATTTAAGAATACTGAAAAATGGATGGAAGAGGCGGGAATTACTCCGCAAGTGTTTTTTGATGAGAGCATGAGGTACAGTCGTGTGGGGTGGACGTAAAAAATTGAATATTACAAAAGAAATAAAAGCAACTTTATCAAACCGTAACCTAATCTTACCATTGATGGCGCCATGTGTAAAAGAATTCCATTTAAAAACACTGTGACACTCAACGATACGTGTCACAGTGCAAATTTGGGTGCCATAATTACAGTAATTGTACGATATTGATACCTGAAGTATAATAAGTATATATGTCAAACATATGTACTGCTATAGTTATGTAGGTATGTACACCCTTTTTATGTATGCAGCAAAGAGAGAAATGAATATCACTTTAGCTAATTATCTGAACAACCATCAAGTAGAAAAGACGTTAACATAGACTAATGATAATCATTTTATATTTGGTTTTTCAATATACATTGTGATTTTGACAAAATTAGACATATTAATAAAACATCATTTGTAAAACCGTTTTGTGTATCAACCCCTTCAATTCTCCCGGCATCAGTTTTATTACTTTTATATTTACGTTGGTGAAGGAATCGTATTTTTTTAGAAGAATAAAAAGTACGGTAACTAAAAAAGGTGTAAAATCATTTTGAACCTTAAGATCTCTTTTTAGAATAATAAGACTAATCGTAAAAATAAGAAATACTATTAGTACAGTGAATAAAGGTAAAAATTAACTATTACCTCTGATTTCGGTGAACCTCCATCGATTTGCATGAAAATTTGGGATTGAGTATATTTTAGCCTTAACTTCAAAAGTTACATATGCTCGACTTGCGCTTTTTGCATTTTAGGGGTGAAGTCAACCCCTCTTTTTANACCTAATCTTACCATTGATGGCGCCATGTGTAAAAGAATTCCATTTAAAAACACTGTGACACTCAACGATACGTGTCACAGTGCAAATTTGGGTGCCATAATTACAGTAATTGTACGATATTGATACCTGAAGTATAATAAGTATATATGTCAAACATATGTACTGCTATAGTTATGTAGGTATGTACATTTTTGTGAAATGGAGTATTTCTAAACTGGCCCCTTTTTAAATAATTTCATCGATAAAAAATCATTATTGAACCTGTTTGTATCTGGATAAGTGAAACGAATTTATAATTATATTAACACTTTTTTAAGTTTTGTTTTCTTATTACCAATAAATATATCAAACAAATTCCTGAATGTCTCTATATCAATGTTTTGCATAAATCGAAACAAATGTACAAACTTTCCCAAAAACAAAAAGTTCAAAGGTTTTGGGACATTTGAAACACGGCAGGTAGTTGTTTCTAACTCAGCCATTATCATCTACCTACTTTATCTAATAAAAACACCGTATGAGATGGCCTTTTGATTTACAGAAAGAAGCAATTTTCAACTTTTAGAATTTTGACAAAATATTACATATATTCCCTAGAAAGTCAGAGTCAGGCCTGCGGCTACACAAAGAACTAGATTTCAATTTTGCGTGAAGTTTCTTAATAGCATGACAACAACACCCGCTTAAGATCTTAAGCAATCAAACACAGGCATTCTTCCATTCATCAATTAGGCAAAAGCATTCTTCGGTTAATAAATCAACAAGATATAAAAAGGCAGCTACCGACTGCACATTCATTCCAACCAGGCACTGAGCTATACTGAAATTTATTCCACAAAGCAGGATCGCATTGGCATGTTTAGTCGATTAAATGTTTGAATTTGGACTATTACTAGAGCACAGATGCAAGGCTCGCAAACTAACAACCTATTCCTCTCTTTCTCATCCGAGAGGAGTCTAATGTGGAATGCTTAACGTTTAAATCTTAAAAAAAAAGGCGCTTCCCTCGACCAGCGGTATTTAATTTTCTGCGACAGAAAATGTCCCCTCATTTAGTCACGAATTAAACATTCCACAAGAGAGCAGTATAATGCGGGATGCGTAGCGAAACAGAGCGGTTCTGTATCTCGCTTTTAGAACAAACAAAATAGCTCAAAACCCCAACCCCAAAACACGACACTGTAGTTGTCCGAAGCACTTTTCTGAAGATCACTTCAGTCCCTGAAGAAGGTAACCTTGTTACCGAAAAGTGCTTTGGACAACTACAGTGTCATGTTTTGGCGTTCGGGTTTGAGCTATTTTGTTTGTTCTACAACAACCGCCAAAGTTTTTCCAATCTTCATATCTCGCTTCTGTTTAAATCTTGAAAATACGGCAATTCCCTCGGCCAGCAGTATTAAATTTTCTGTGCCAGAAGACGTCCACTCATTTTTTCACGAGTTAACATTCCAGAAAACAGAGGTTTAGTGAAGAAGTATGCTGCGGGACATAGAGCGGTTGAGTATCTTGTTTCTGTTTCAATCTTAAAAAAGTGGCGCATCCCTCGACCAGCGCTTATCTATTTAAATCTTGAAATATAGCGCTTCCCTCGATCAACAGTATTAAATCTTCTGCGCCAGAAGATGTCCCCTCATTTTGTCCCGAGTTAACATTCCACAGGAGAGGAGTCTAGTGAAGGAGCCACAGTTGAACAAAACGGTTCTATATCTTCTTTCTGTTTATATCTTGAAAAACCAGCGCTTTTAAATTTTCTGCTGTAGAAGATGTTCCGTTATTTTCTCTCGAATAAAACATTCCAAACGAGAGGAGTATAATAAGGACTACGTAGCGGAGCAGAGTAGCTCTGTATATCGCCTCTGTTTAAAATTTGAAGAAATGGTGCATCCCTTGACCAGAGCCTTTAAATATTCTGCTCCAGAAGATGTCTCCTTACTTTCTCACGGATTAAACATTCCACAAGAGAGGAGTCTAATTCGGAGTACGTAGCGAAACAGAGTACTTGTGTATCTTGCTGCTGATTAAATCTTGAAAACAAAAGCGCATCCCTCGACCAGCGCTTTCAAATTTTCTGGTCCAGAAGATTTTCACGAATTAAAAATTCCACAAGAGAGGAGTCTGCTGCGGAGTGCGTAGCGGAACAGGCACTTATGTATCTAGCTTCTGATAGGAGTTTAGTGAAGGGGTGCCTAGCGGAACAGAGCGGTTCTGTATCTTCTTTCTGTTTAACCTTGAAGAAATGGCGCTTTCTTCTAACAGCGGTATTCAATTTCTTACGCCAAAAGATGTGCCCTCACTTAAACAATTAAACATTCAACAGCCAGGTTGACGTATACTGTAATGTTCGTGGGTTTAACAGAATTACTTCTAAGACTGACAACGACAAAAACTATTTATTTACACTAATTATTAATATATCACTATTCACTGCTCTATTTATTTTACTGCTATCACTGTCAATTTATTTCTCGACTCACTTCTGCAACGATAAATTTATTTCTCCTCTTTCCGGCGATCGTCTCTTCCGTTAAATACTCTTTTGCTTCCTTTCGGGAACCTTCTCGAGCCGTCCGGAAAAGTTTCTTTTTCTTTGAACTGTTTAATTGCTTTCCCAGAACGCAGGTACGACACACATTTACAAATACGGCGCACATGAAGAAAGGCGCCCGCTGCTAGTCGGCGAATCGATAAGCCGTTCACACACACGTGTGCCTGATCGCACACAGACACGCTTGTGCTCGCTACAATATAACAGTAACAATGAAGGTTAGAATTTATGTCATTTTCAAATATCATTACTAATGTACTGTTTTTTTCCTTATTCATGATATTTTTTCTCATAACCACATTATCATTGTTGCTGCCGGTATCAAATATTGAAAAGAAATAAAATAACATAATTTAGATTGATCTTATTACTACTTCTTTTAACAACTAAAAGGAGCCACTTTGTTCATAGTATATATTCGCACTCGACGAGCGTTTGTTACATCTACTTTTCAGTAAAATGGAAAGTAATTACTTAGTCATTTTCCAGGAATTTGTTTGATATACTTTTCACCTGATTTAGTTGAATATCTATACCTTAATTGTCTGTATTTGTAATGTGAAATATAACTGTACAATGTTCATGTGTATCAATAAAATAACTTGATAAGTTTCACATGTAGTATAAATATGTAATGATATAAATAAAAAGTGGGAGCACACAAATGTCACCAAACAGATTTGTAAGAAAGTTTAGTAAGCCTCATACAGTGCAATAAAAAAAAAAACCATCACAAACAGCAAAAACAAATTCACCCGTTATACCGTCACCGTTAATAAAATAAAAAACAACAAATCAAATGCCTTAAAAATACTGTTGATTCAACGAAAATTGGCTTCATTAAAATACAACTTATTAAAGCAAAATATTATAATCTGTTGAACGAAAAACAATCTCAAATTTAAATGAGTTACTAACTTACTATTGGGGAGGTGGTCGGTTGAGAAATTAATAGTAGAAGCGAAATAAAACAAACGAAAAAATAATTTCTTCAATACAGCACAAATATGAAGCGACAAATATCTGAAATATTCTATGGTGAAAAATAACGACAAAAGCTGCAAAGCTAGGCCTCGATAATCGATATATATTTGGATATTATTTATAATTATACTGTAAGCAAACAATTTATTTCATTTATTATATATACATAGAAAGCAATCAAATGGATTTCTATAGAACTGAACTAAACAAAACACTAAAATTTAAAAAAATAAAATAAAAAATAATAATAGAAAAGTTTAGAAAATTTTAAACGCGTTCCGATAAGTAAGGTGTTATTTTTTTTAACGTT